ATATGGATCTCTTCCAATCAGTTGGCCAGATAGTTGTCTTCCAAATTTCTTGGCAGAGATGAGTGAGTGCCTCCAGTGCCTCCTCACTTTCTTGAAAGATTTCAATTTTTATTCCATCAATTCTGGTTCCTTGTTCTTTGCCAATTCCTTCAATGTACCTTAGACTTCTTCCTTCAGGATCATTGGCTCTTGATCATATACTACCTCTTGAAATGGTTGAACATGAACCATTTCCTTATGGTACAGTGACTCTGTGTATTCCTTCCATCTTCTTTTGATGCTTTCTGCATCATTCAGTCATTTGCCCAGAGAATCCTTTAATAATGAAAGTCAAGGGTTAAATTTTTTCTTCAGTTCCCCCAGCTTGAGAATTGCTGAGTATGTTCTTCTTTTTTGGTTTTCTGATCCATCCACAGGTACATTTCATTAATTCAAGGATAATTTATTGAACAGTTACTTGGTGTCACATTCCACACTGGGGAACATGAAAGAATAGGAAACTTTTCTTGATCATTAGCTCTCAGTTTAGTTGTGGAGAAGGAAGATTAATAGTTAATAATGCAATATATAAAGGATGGATAGATATGAAGGTATGTCTAAAAGTGTTGCTTCTAGGATCTCATCTCAGACATGCACAGGCTTATTCCAAATAGAATGTGTTTAACTGCCTCTGTGATTAGTGGAGAGTTGCAGACGCATTTTCTCAGTAACACACTTGTCTTAGTCTTGTTAAGGTGCCTTCAAATCAAAGGATACTAAAAACAAAGTGTTGTGTGACGATCAGCTGGTCTTTCTTTCTATCTAGTAAAACAAAATCGAAGCTAATGAAGATGATTTTATGGAGCAAAGCATATCTGGGGGCAAATCTTAGCTATACCAATACTATGCAGAGAGAGCTGTCCAAGCCAAACAGTGACTTGTGAGGAGCTTTGCTGGGCTACTTAAATTCAAGGCAGAGAGGTCAGCTCAGAAGGTCATGATGTCTCTTGATAGATTTTCTCAGAGAACCCAGGATGATCACGCGGAACATAATAGGAAGAAATCTGAAGAAATGGGTAACTGCATGGTAAGAAAAAGGCCAGAAAAGTTGTGCAAGGGAATTTTTTCCCATCTCAACAACGCACTTGCTCATTCTTT